CTCCAGCCTGGGCAACAGAGTGAGACTCCAACTCCAAAACAAAAAACAAACAAACAAAGAATTAGTCTTTGTATACAAATACATAAGCAAAAGCATAGGAATGCTAAAGGCAAACTCCCACTGACTGACCCACTAGGTACAAGAAACCCAGTGCTGATGACTCCCAATATTTATAGGAGATACTGGAAAATGTTTTAATTTTAACTTATTTTAAAACCAGAAGAAAAAAGGACTATAATAATATTGAATATATAACAATAAATCCAGCCTAGATTGTATCCATGTTTTTACCAACACAGGTGTATAACACATTTTTAAAACATTTTTATTATGTAGAAATGGACTTAAGAAAGAAAAACTATGACCCTTGCAAATAGAACATAGTCCTGCCTGCAGTTACTGCTGGTGCTGAAAGAAGGGAAATGTTGTTAGAGCATAGAGACTCCTTAATGTTGTTTTGTAATTTTTTTTTACTCAAAATATTTTTAGTAGACATAACATAATGAGATTTGATATGTCTTTTGGGTATACACAAATATACTATGTTGTCACTATCATTTTTCTCTACATTGTAATAATTCCTAATTAAAATGTCACTAATGAATCCTTTTGATTCAATGATTAATAGCTACTTATTGGATTTTATAAAGATACAATTTTGAAATTTCTTTTTTTTTTTTTTTTTGAGTGGAAGTCTCACTCTGTCACCCAGACTGGAGTGCAGTGGCCGCTTCCGGCCACCGCAGCCTCGACCTGCTGGGCTCCGGCGATCCTTCCGCCTCAGCCTTCCAAGTAGCCGGAATACAGGCATGCGCCACCACGCCCGGCTGATTTTTGATTTATTGTAGAGATGAGGTCTCGCTGCCCAGGCGGGTCTCGAACCCGCGGGCTCAGGCAATCCACTCACCTCAGCCTCCCAAAGGCGCGGGATTACAGGCTGAGCCACCGAGCCCGGCTGAACACCAGAATTTTAAGGTAAATGTAAAAACTCTTTGCCTCCTACATTTTTTGTAAGGAAGTTTTAATCATTGCTGAGATATATTGCAAAACACTAATTAAAGATAAGAGAACACTGTATAATACATGCAGAAATATTCCTCTTAGAATAGTAATTCTTTGACCCCACGCAAGATTGCACTTTCAGATTCTGAGGCACAAAAGCGAAATAACAAAGACCACTGTAAAAACCTAGTATTTGAGTATAATAGGCAATCACCAAGGACACATTCACACCCCTCCAAATGCTTAAATCACTGGAAATTTAAACATCATTTGTAATTCTAAGAAATCATTACCCCAAAAGTCGCCATTATGATGTGCATAACAGATGTACTTAGATGGTTTAATGTAGAATTCATAAATCAGAATCGCTTTCCAGCCAAGTTTTATTAAACTTTTATTCATGGAAATGTGCAGGGATTGTTCTTTTCAAAAACAGAGAGAGTCGTTTTGCTAATGATTTCTATTGAGCATAATCCCACCACCCGAAAACAACCACAGTGATGGCAGGCTTCAATTCCTTAGCAACTGGACCTGTCAAACAAAGTCAGACACTAGCTAAAGTGATGAGGATGGGCACATTTTACTCTGGAATATACTAGTACAATAGTGAAGAGCCAAACTCAACTTCGATTTGTACAAAAGTGACTAAGCATTTTATTTTATTTTATTTTATTTATTTATTTTTTAGTTGGAGTCTCACTCCGTCACCCAGACTGGAGTGCAGTGGCGGCTCCCGGGCACCGCAGCCTCGACCTGCTGGGCTCCAGCCATCCTTCCGCCTCAGCCTTCTGAGTAGCTGGAATTACAGGCGCGCGCTACCACGCCCGGCTAATTTTTGATTTATTGTAGAGATAAGGTCTCGCCAAGTTGCCCAGGTGGGTCTCAAATCCTCAGCTTCAGGCAATTCACTCAGCTCAGCCTCGCAAGGTGCAGGTTACAGGCTAAACCACCAAGCCCGGCTTGACTAGGCATTTTAAAGAAAGAATAAGGGAGTAGGGAAGAAGGCAAGCAGGGCTTGAGTGGAGTCAGGCAAGTGAAAAATCCCTGGTATCAAGAGGGAGCATGTAAAACCCAGACCAAAAGCTTTGTACCCGCTAAAGCTATTGAAATAAAAAAGAAAAAAAGAGCCGGGCTTGGTGGCTCAGCCTGTAATCCCGCGCCTTGGGAGGCTGAAGTGAGTGGATTGCCTGAGCCCGTGGGTTCGAGACCCGCCTGGGCAACTTGGCGAGACCTCATCTCTACAATAAATAAAAAAAAATTAGCCGGCGTGGTAGCGCGCGCCTGTAGTTCCAGCTACTTGGAAGGCTGAGGCGGAAGGATCGCCGGAGCCCAGCAGGTCCAGGCTGCGGTGGCCGGGAGAGGCCACTGCACTCCAGTCTGGGTGACAGAGGGAGACTCCAACTCAAAAAAAAAAAATAAAGAAAGAAAGAAAGAAAGAAAAAAAGAGTTGGTCAATGTAAACGTGATTAGAGAAGTTTCTGCTAGGTGTCAGTTACTGAAGTTAGCATTCTATCCTCCCACAGAGACTGGGAGACAGAGCACCATATTCTTCCTGATGATTACATTTCAAAAACTGGCTTTCAAGTCCTTGAGAAAGAAATCCTTGAAATACATATTCACAATTATAAGACCTTTATTAGTAAATGCTCTAAGAAAGAGAGGTCGGGGCCTATTATCAGTTGTTGGCTAGAGCAAACTTTAAATCTTTTGGCAATCTGGGCTTTTTTTTTTTTCTTTTAACTTTTTAGGTGGACATTTTAAGGGTGGGCTAGGACCATCCCAGGAATGCAGCCTTGAGTCGATACTATGTTAGTATTTGTTAAAATAATTTGATGGGAAGTGGAAAAGTAGGTGGGTGAACTCATTTGTGCTGAGAATCAGCAATTTTATAGGCTAAAAGTGAGGCCTAGTCAAAACAAGGACTCAGAGGAACCTATCTAAAGTTAGGTCAAGAAAAACGTTTTTGTTAGACACCATGCATTTTACAAGGTAGTGATGTGGCCAGAGCCCACACAATTTTGTTTGTCTTTTACATCTAACATGATCAATAACATTTTCTCCCAGCATTATGAGCTCCACAAACTCATTTGCAATGATTGCATAATGGTCCAAAAACTGACCATGATTTGCTCATCTCCCCCTCTTAGTAGACAATCAAGTCCCTTCCCGTTGTTTAGTATTATCAGTTAAAAATAAACTCTTTATACTTAGGCTCCTCCACCCCCATTTAATTGGAATTATTAGGATTGGAATTACAAGAATTAAATTATGGGCTGTGGAGTCCCAACTCTTGCAAGACCTCAGATACACATGATTTTATTTCCATTTTCTCTCTTCCTTACTCCTTCTCCAGTCTGCCTTTCCCCAGCATTTTGTAAACTGGCACAGGGCAGTAAAAGGTAACTTATACTGAATCATTTCCCAGGACCCAAGAGTGGATATAGTGGTAGTGTCTTTTTAAATTTATTCTATTTTTGCATAAGGGAAGTATAGAGAAGGAAAACATTTTTTCCTTCTACCCTTCTAAGCTCTCAACTAGGACTTCATAACAAAAGATCAATTAACAGGAGAAAAACAAGAGTTATTAACATTGATATGTGCGTTATACGTGTGACATGTGGGAGTACCTATAATGAATAACTTAAATGGGCATCTAGTTATTATTTAGGGGCATATACCTTCTCAGGCTAAAGTAAAATGTTGGGTTGCTGGGTGAGGAAGCAAGTAATGGGAAGGTGAGTAGGAAAAAATATGACAAACAGGAGTTGTGTAGTAAGCTTGGTTATGCAGATTTAAGTGCTTCTCTCTTGATTAGTGTTGTTAAGTGTCTTCCTCCTGGTACAGGAGAGGGAGATATTTCTACAAATGGAGATTTCCTTTACAAAAGGAAAATTTGTGCCCTGTTTGTAGAGCTTTTCCTGCATTTGCAGATTCTCAGTAGCTTTTAGCTCAAAATAATCCATATGCCAAAGAGAGATATTTGGGGGTAGTATATTCTGGTACTCCTCAAAAACATCTAGAAGACATTTTGTCTCTAAAAAATGGTGTAATCAACTAAGATTTCACATTCCAAGGGTTTTATCAATTTAAACAACTAAAGAAAAATTGGAAATTTAGGCAGAGAGTGTATATAAGAGAAAGACATTTAAAGATCCTGGAAAAAAAAAGAGTAAAGTGTATTGAAGATACATATGTTTGTAGCTATAGCTTTCTACACATTGCCAGTTTGGACTCAGGGGACTACCTAAACAGTTTACTTTAACACAACTAGATTGGTACTAACAAATTGCTTTTCCCAAACATATTATCAATTTCAACATTAGAAGGCAGGAGGGTCAC